GCCAGCCTGCCTGGGGACCGTTTGTAGCCTCTCTCTCATCGTTTTTTAAGAATAACACTTATATTTCTGTAAAATTTTGTTTTGCTCATTTTGATTTGTTTTTGTGTGACAGTATCTCATTATGTAACCCTGTCTGGATTGGCACTCAGTTTGTAACCCAGGCTGACCATGAACTTGTAATAAACAACTTGCATCAGTCAACTGATGTAGAAGGAGCAGCGGGCTACATTCCTGCCACTTGGCTCCCGGCCGCCTGGCTAGCTTATGCCCCAAAATAATAACACAGAAACTGTATTCTTTGAAACACTGCCTGGCCCATTATATCTAGCCTCTTCTTGGCTAACTCTCATATCTTGACTAACCCATTTCTAATAATCTGTGTAGCACCACAAGGTGGTATCTTACCGGGAAAGATTCAGCATGTCTGACCTGGTGGCTGGATCCATGGCATCTGCCCAGGAGAGGAGAGGCATGGCGTCTGGCTCACTTCCCTTCTTCCCACAATTCTGTTCTGTCTACTCCACCTACCTAATTCTCTGACCTATCAGGGCCAAGGCAGTTTCTTTATTAACCAATAGAGAGATGACCCTCCTCTATCAAACTGAGGGCTGAGACACTAGGTCTATGTTCCATACATGACTCCGGTGCTATAATTCATGTACACATCTCTGGCTTACTGAGTGAACCCAAGCTGATGTATCCTAGAGCCCATGGGGTCCTTTTATGAGTAATGTGTAGTCAATTAGTCAATTTAAAGCTTTTTCACAGATCCAATTCTTAAACTGAATGAAAAAATGTTTATCATTTAATTCCTATACATCATTATGAAACATTTGTTATTAAAAGGACCAATTCACAAACAGGGAAAGTGTCTAAGAATATGATCTGATTGATTACCTTAATATAATGTGGTCATAATTAAATTCCAGCATATCTCTTTTGAATATAATGCATACATAATCACACTGTAGCTCTGAGTATATCTGGGTATTTGGAAAGTATGGGTTTATATTAAATACTTTCCTAAAAAGATTGCACAGTTTACAATGCTTTAATAATGGAGTCAATAAATACAATTTTATTAAAAGTCACTGCATGACACCGTGTTATCTTAATAGTCATTGGTTATGTGTGGATGCTTATATGGTAATCAATTTATATTTAGTAAAATTGAAAATTAATTTTCTTTCTCATGATAGTTACATTTCAAATATTAAGGAACCTGACCTGACCAGTTGACTACTGGCCAGCACAAACAGCCAATATATTTCCATCATTCTATGAATTTATATTCAATAATAATAGCATCTGTCAGAGCTGTCACAGTAATGCCTGCTACCAATTTCTGTCTTCGTTATTTTTCACTTGCTTTGTAGATACCATGACCGAGACAGCTTATAGAAGGAAGAGTTGATTAGGATTTACAGCTTTTGAGGGTGAGTCCATGATCAACATGGCAGAGAGAATAGCAGCAGGCAGATAGGCATGATGTGGGAGAAGTAACTGGGGGCTACATGCTGATTGATAAGCATGAGGCAGAAAAGAGAGGGACATCTAGATGGGGACAGTGGGCTTTTGTAACCTTTTGTCCATCTCCACTGACACATGTACTATAACAAGGAAATACCGACTAATGCTTTATAAACAGAGGATAGGTGCTATAGAACATGTAAGGGCAGTTCAGCTTTTCATTCAAATATAGTGGTGACTCAAGGTGAGCCAGCCAGAGGATCACCATGGAGCACAGAGGGAGTTCAGTCTCATTTCCTCATAAGCTCTTCTATGTCTCTGAGGCTCCATGGTCTTTGACTAAAATTATGATATATCTGTATAAAATCGAATTAGTATCACCTTAGTGGCAAGCAGGCCTGATGGGATGCATAGTATTCACATTTACCTTCATGCCAGTGAAGATAAATTGCTCACCACTCTTCATGCAGCCAACTTACAGAAATAATGACATGTAAGTAAATGAAATACAATTGAATTTTTTATGTAATGGATTCATTTGTTCTTATAAGCTGTCAAGTTATAAATAGCAGCCAACATGCTGGATTTTCCTAAGGCTGTGTTCTTTCCTCTTATCAAGTGTATATATGATTTATGAAGGCAGGTTGAAAGATGATAAAGAAAATGATATTTGCTCACAAAAAATCCAGAGATAAGCATGAGTTTTAAAATGTACTCAATCAGGAGTTATACTGTAAAATGTATCTGTTCTCTTCCTTCCCAAAATAGCAAAATTGGCATGTTGTAATATATCATAGGTAAAAGTTATTACCCAAACCTTATCAAGGTGATATTACAACATTACAACTCTTACTTGTCCAAAAGTTAAAAAAAAAAAAACTTTGAAGTTAGAGTAAATATTCGCATTTGCTCAAATGGTATAGGCAGCAGCGATGATAGGATCAACTTGCCTATAAATAAAGACAATTGTAAAGCTATCTGAAAACATACCAAAAAGCCTTAGTCTGAAATACAACTTATAACATTCTCAAAGCTCTATGATTCCTTTCTACAGAAATTTTGATTTTAAAAAGGAGCATAAAAAAATTACAATGAAATTAACTAAAGAAAGGAAATCAGGCTAGCTAAAGTCCCTCAGCAGCACATTCCACTATGGGAGCACACGAGTACTCCTCATCAAGTTTTCACCAACAAACAAAATGCTCTCTGTCTCCATGGAGACTGCTGAGCAGGCAGGTTGATGCCCCCCATCACTGCATTCATTTCTTTTGTCCGTGCGTCCTCAGAAAGAGCATCTAGCAATTATTTGTCTTTGTTCAAACAGGACCTAATTTTTAGAGATAGACCTGCATTTCTAATTAACTTGTCAGCATCTGACCTTGACTCCGTTTTGGACAGAACAAACTTGGAGTGGTCTTGCCTAGCATGATTATTAGTCTGCCTTTACCACAAATCCACATTTTCCTTTAGACTTTTGAATTGTTCTAGCCCTCACTACCCAATAAAACAAACTTGAAATATAAAGCACAACACTGCAGAAAATAGTTGTACAGTGCAGTGCATTTGACTTTAACTTTTCAATAACTCATAGCTGTGCCAATATTAGTTAACAGTATTGCTTTAGTGACAAAATATCTGGCAATAGCAGCTTATGAAAGGGGGAAAAGAGTTCTTCTGGCTTATTGTTCCAGAATGACAGGAGCAGGCAGCAACTTGTCAGTGTGTCCAGAGTGATGAATACTTGTCTCAGCTACTTTTCTCTTTTATTCAGTTGAGGACACCGGCCCATAGTTTGGTACCTTCTATGTTCGGGTTAGCTCTTCTCACCTCAATTGACCTATTTCAAGTAATTGCTCACATAAAAGCGCAGAAATTTGTCTCCTAGGTGGTTCTTGAACATTCTAAGATGATAGTTGATACTAACCATCACAGTACCATAGGTTCCTCACATGTAAATGGGTATATAATGTTATGTGACTATAGGATATATAGTACAGTCTGAGATTCTAATGCGGATAAGTTCTACTAATGTTACTGAATTCAGATTCAGGAAATTCTTCTGATGCAATCCACTATGTGCCCCACACACTTTTTGTCCTTGTATAAAAAATTTTAATTTCTAATATCATGTCTTTTTTGAATGAGCTAACCTGTGCTGTGTCTACAAACTACTCCATCTATTTCCAGTCTTCCACATTAACATTTGTAATATGCCATGTACTCTATTGGGCTATCATGGACACACAATTTTTAAAAAGCAAATATGGCATTGTAGGCTGTTTCTTAGCTACAGAGAATAGATAATATGCTAGCTAGATTTTGTGGGGGTCCACCAATGTTAGCCTGTTTCAACTTGACTAAAGATCTGAGAGTTTGAGCTTACTTTTTCTCTTTCAATGTGGTTGACAATAGGTGTGGCTACAAATAAGAGATTCTGAGCTAGAGTGTGGTTAACTAGTATTTTGTCCCCCTGGACAAAAGGTGGGAGAATTCAAATACATTCCTTATATCATGTTAATGAAGTCTGTTGTCTTTCCCCTCCCCTTTTAGAGTGAGATATATAAGCATGTGGAAAATAAACATGTGGGTTCAGTATTCACTGAATTGCCCTCCTGATGCTTTTCTGTGTTTCTACCTCTTATTTCTCTGATATCTCTATTCCTCCTGCATAATAATTTTACTCTTTATGCTCCTACTCTGGAACATACAAATTTCATCAAGGCTGGACCCTAATAGATGGTGCCCAAATGTGTGGTTTACAACAGAAATCCCTCAAAGTAGGACATAGGGCAGATAATGCATGGATGTGAGGCCAGAAGTACAGGAGAAAAGGAAAACATGAAGAATCTGGGAAGTGAATATTACACTGCAGGTGTAGAGGTGAAAATTGACCACTCAGAAATAGACAATAATAGATAACAAAGGAAGAGAAATGGGGTATGAAATATTGGGAGTAAAATTGCATATGACTGTAAATATGGAACTAGGAAATAGTATTCAACTGTCTGTACATTTGCTTAGATGTATTTTGATAGCCAGAGGAACTGGGGTGGAGTAGAAATAAGCATAGAGATTTTTAGAATTTATAGATAGTGTAAGCCTTCTGCTCCCTCAACCAAAATGGTGGCATAGACACCAATGATTCCAGACAGCTCTGGGATATGGAGAGGTCAAGGTGTGGCCCTGGCTGCTCTTCAGTCAAGCTGACCTGTAGTGCTGCAGTTATGGAGCCACAGTAGCTGCTGTGCATGTAAGAGAGAAGGAAAGTGGGGCACATGCCCTGATAATGGCTGCAGACAGTCGCCACCAAGATTGTGGCCATCTGTGGGCACAAGCTGTAGCCAGCTGCATCTGTCCCACACTGCACTGTGCAGCCAAGAAAGTCAGGAGACATGGAAAATTTGCTGGGCCCCGGAGCCATTCAGCAGGATATAGCTAGAGGCTACATGGCCCATTAGCCAATAAGTCTGTAGGGCTAAATCAATAGTTTTTAATGGAAGAAAGTGCTTGCATCAGGTTTCCTGAGTGTTAATGATTCCCTGAGTGGCTCTAGGCCACAAAGGCCAGTGAGTCCCAGACAGGGAGCTGTACAGTAGATGAGAGACAGAGATGCACCATGCAGAGAAAGTGAGTATTTATTTAGTGGGTTATGGAGGGGAAAGGGAAAGGGGAAAATGGGAGAAGGGGAAGGGGGAAGAGCAGAAAAAGAGAGAAAGGGAAACAGAGGGGGGGGGGTAGTGGGGAGAAGGGAGCGAGGCAGAAGTTGCCTTTTCTGGAGAGAGTCAGAAAGGAAAGCCAGGCTGGAAGCAGAAGAAATATCTGCTTACCTCAGTGGAGGGGAGGGGGGGGCTGAGGGAGTAGGTGGGGCTTGTCCCTTAAAGGGACAGGACAGACCATTATATTCCCATCTCTTTTTTATAGTAAAAAGACAGGGGTTTAGGCACAACAAGTTAAAAGAATTGGGACAGCAGATTCTCAAGACAGATTCCTGCTTGTTTGTGGATATCATCTTGGAGGGACAACTTGAGAAAATGGGGTGCTGGTCACATCCTTGTAAAGCTTGTCTCTTTGCTCCTATCTGGTGTTTTGTGGTATGGAAATGTCTGTTGTCTCTTATACCTGTTTAGGTAAATATATTAGCAGAACAGAGAAAAAAGTTAGTTAAGTTTAGGAAAATAAATTTAGGACCAAGGAACTGAGGGGGTGTATCTGACTTGTTTAAAGTGGACCCTTCAATTTGGTGCCATGGAACTCACAAGAATTGTTTGGGTTTGTGAAAACATAAGTTTTAACATATTTGTGTCAGAATGAGTTTGTCTGAGTTTTTTTGCATAATGAAAATATTTTTAAGACTATGGAAGGCAGTGTGAGAGAAATTTGATAACTTGTATTTGTCCTTACATCTTTATAATTTGCAGGTACATACCTTAATAATTTGTATTTGTGTTTTACTGACATTTGTGTGGTGAGGTTGTCCTTTTAAACTGACAAAACCTCTCAGCTCTCAAACTGCATCAGAGATCTTTGAGAAGAACGAAATTTTACTTGAGTTATTGATTATAGAGAACTTACTTGGTTGACACCTAGAGCACCTCATGGTCCTCCATGGCTGCTGAGGGTCATTTTGCCTTTTGCTATTTAGTGCAGGACCTGCCAGGCTCCAGAAGATCCTGTGGGCTAAGACATCTGTAGGAAGACAAGCTTAACTTGACCTGAGCAGCTAGGCTGTTGATTCCAGTGATTATGTCCACTGTCTAGAGATCTTTAGTTAAGAAGAAAGGTAGTTTTGCCCAGTGATCAGCACTTAGCAGTTGAAACGAATGGCAGATGGATGTTGTTTTGTGCCCATTTGTCTTCTGTCTCCTTTGCAGGAAATAGAGTACTGCTGCTAGGAGCCAACCTGTCTCTTTTTGTTGTGAAAAGCTTTTTAATAATTAAATATTCTGATGTCATATTCCCCAGATCTCTGAGCAGTTGATGGTTGTTTACCAAGTATAGATTAGTTATAACTACAGTATAGAATCTGCCTGGAGAGCTAGGTCTGAGCTTGACTGTACTGGCGCTTTCCTTAATAGGTAAGATTTACACTTGTAAAAAGACAGAGAGGAGAAAAAAACTGCTTGCCATAGAGAGTTAATGACAGAACTGACAATAGTAGAGAACAACTTAATATATTTTAAATCAGGGTTGGATTATATAGATAGTATTTTTGTAAGTACATACCAATTTAAAACATAAGACTTAATGTTTTTGTAGTCTGGAATGAGATACAATGAATAGACAATTATAACATTTAATAGTAAACATAGGTGCATTTAAGTTACATATATGCACACACACACACACTTAACAGGAATTGAGTGAAGTAGGTGGTGGGCCCTACAAAAGGCATTCGACTGCACAAAACACACACGTAACAGAGTCAGTAAGGGGAATTTAGAGACAAATGCATAATTAAGCCTGAGGACCAGGCAGGGAATATCTCAGTAAAGATGGGGAGATTTGGTCACCTGACCAGGCCATCAGTTAAGATGGCAATAAGGTTATCTGACCTCAGTCAAAAACAGCAGTCTTATATTGTATGGAAAAGCCACCATTTTTGAGCTGAGAAAGTTTTAAACATAATAACAAGAAAGATCTAGAGGTATGATTTGCCCTGTTGCTGAGCCACTGCACCACAAGCTATGGCGGGGAGCAAAGGCTGGAATTAAAAACAGCTGGCTTGTGGATCCAATTAATCTTGTCAGTTTCCTCAGTAACAGCAGAAGTGGTGGCAGGGATAGTTTGAGGAAAAGCCGAGCCTGTGGGATACTGCCGGAGCATTCACAGATGGGTGGCTGATAGTTTGAGGGTTTATACCATAGCTGAAAACATGAAAACCTGTTAAAACTGCAAATGAACATGGCAGGGCCTATAGGAGGACCTCTTCTCTCTACTGGCAGGGTGTTGAAGTCTGACTGGCTCCAGGCTGGGTGACTTGGAAGTCAGAGGCTAGAGGCTACTCTGAGAGGTCTCTCATGGCAGGGACCACTTACGAGTAATCCAAAAGAAAAGAAAAGAAAAAGAAAGGAGAAAGAAACATCCACAGCACCCTGGGCACCAAATCAAATGCACCACACACCATGAGCAGTGTTAGCATGGGAGGACTGACCCTGGGTAGTCTGATTATGTTTTTAGCTATAGGTAGCAACCAGAGAAGAATGTCAGCAAAGGGCTCAAAAATAGCTGTGAAGGCTGTGGTTGGTGACTGAAAGGTGAAAACTCACCACTGAAGTTGCTGGTGTGTTTAGCGGCCATTGATCAGGCAGACAGAAAGCAGAACTGTTGTAAAGCAATGTGGTTCCAGAGCTTGGGGTTCCATGTGTCCCCAGCCAGCCCACCTGCAGGCAGGAGGGAATATTGAGAGAGTCTGGCTGAGTCATGAGCACCAAAGTTATAGTAAACAAAACAAAACAAAACAAAACAGTCCAGTTCCCAAAGTGGCCCATGGGCCACAAGGGGCAGCGGATTCCAGATAGGGAGCCACATGGTGGGTGAGAGAACACGGTGTGGCTGCAGTCACAGTGGGTAAGAGACAGACAGATAGGCACGCCATGCAGAGTGAGGTTGGACATTTATTAGAGGGTTATAGAAGGGAAGGAGAGAGGGAGGGAGAAGGGAAACAAGGAAAGAAACACACACAGAGAGTGAGTGAGTGAGAGAGAGAGAGACAGAGACAGACAGACACACAGACAGACAGACAGAGAGGGAGGGAGGAAGAGGGGAGAGGAGAGGAACCACAGCAGCAGCTACCTCTTTGGGAGAGAAATGAAAAGAAAGGGGATTCAGGCTGCAAGGTGAAGGAAGATCTGCTTGCCTCAATGGATGGGGGGAGGAAGTGGATGGGGCTTTTCTCTTAAATGAACAGGACAGACCATTACAGAGGGGGTTCAAGAATTCCCCTAATTTTGTGATTACATGATTTAAAATAAGAAAGCAGGGCTAGTATAATCAGCGTGGTTATACCTACCTAAACTTGTGGTAGTGGCAGTCTCAGAAATGCTCAAAAGTGGGCATCTGGGAGCCTGCCTGTACTAGCACTAACCTCTGGCTGGATGACTGTATGTGGAAAGGGTGGCCTGTGCCCTGACCAGACAGAACAGACTATGAAGGACCAGCACTTCCTGGTCCCAAGTCCCTGGCAACACAGTCAAGTGGTGGAGAGCACCCTTGTGCCAAACCCTGCTCCCAGATTCAGTTGTGAGCCCCCATTGGTTCTCAGCCTCACAGCCAATCTGCAAAACAGTAGCCTCAAGAAGTCAAATTTCTATTGAAACGCAAATGCACCTTGAGCCAGGTGTCTGTGAAAACCAGTCAGCTAGGGAGATTTGCAACTTAAAATAGAAAGACAGTTTATGAACTTTAAATAAAATAACCAATGGCTTTGGTCCTGCTTATTGTTGTTTACAGGATATCTTGAACCCCTCAGTGAGATTATTAAGGGGAATAATGATTCTGCTTCCCCAGGAAGCTCACAGAAACTGCTAAGCCAATTACTGGCTCTAAATAAGCATGCAATTAATGTGCCCAGAGAGCTTTGAAAAGAAAAAAAAAAAAATGGAAGAGTTATACCCTCACTCAGTGTTGAAAAGGACCTGATCCTGTGCTATTATGGGATTGAGAGTATGTTTGTGCTTTTTTCACAGGAAGAGTGCCTGTAAAACAGAAGAGTATCGGTGCTGATGACATTTAAGCCATTAGTGTCCCAACAGAGGTTCTTAAATCTGTGTTCCTGACTTTCTTACACCACCATGCTGCAGGCTGAGAAGGGAAGGACGATTGTGGTGATGATCGATCATTCCCAGTTTCTTGGTGGACCTATTGCACAAACTTCCAGACCTTAATGAGCCCTGTTGACTTTGGAGCTGGTCCATGAATCCTGACTGAATGTTGGACAGCTTGTCCATACTTTATCTTGGGACACAGAACACATTTTTGCCAGTACGGTTTTCAATCTGCTGTTGAAATAAAGGACCTGAGAATTGAGACCTCAATTTTCCTGTCTGGGAAAAAAGGACTCATTACAGTGGGTAACTGAATGCCGCGGGAGGTCCTTCCGCTCCTCCAACCAATAGCTGCTGAGATACCAGCCCATTGGGGCACCGCTCTCTCTTCACTTCCTGCTCCACTGGAGACTAGACTCCCTTCCTGGTTGCACAGGGGGCTGTTGTCTGGGACGGTGATCTGTAAGTTTTTTCCTCTTTAAATAAATACCACCCTATTAATCATAATTCCAAACTGGCGTGGCATTGTTTGTGACTTACGCCTTCAACTGAAGACCTTCCTCAGAGATGATGGGGAATGGCATAAAAGATTCTGCTGCCACTCAGACACAGGGACAGTTTGATCTTAACTTTAAAACTTAGAAACATCAATGTAGGTTGACTATAGGAGAGAAAAAGATTCATGGCTCGCCTATCACAGAAACTTTTTCTTGTATTTTGATTAGAATGGATTTAAGAAAACTGTGATTTGAAAAACTGCATGTTTATTTCTACACTAGAATATTGGTATTGACCTGTTAATGTTTGTAACTACTTTGGTTCATTATGAAGATATTACTGATTAGAAAAAGGTTAGAGCTTGTCTGAGAGAATTTTGTCATTGCCAATGAGTTCTTAAATTTTATATGTTTAAAAGGACAAATTTGGATTTTGATTGTATCTAAAAATTGTTAAAGATATCCTAGATCAATTTAAAAAAGACAATCCCATCCCTGGTCATCCTCCACTCCTTTATTAGGAGATAGAGTAATCATAGGAGTATATGTATCACAAAGCATTACCTGCTTACATACAGTTATCTAGTTGTTGGTGAATACTTTTGGTAGAAAATTGCCTGAAAGGTACACAGAGCTCAGAGAAGCATTCTTCCTTAACCCTTTGTTTACAGAGGTTGTTAGTCAATGATGGGTAACATCTTTTCCACTCCCACCACCCCACCGCTGGCAACTTAGGACAGTGCATACATGATTGAACATATGTATCAATGATGGGCAAGTCAGGAAAATGGGGGAAAGGCCCCCAAGACAAGCACACTGGGCTGTCCTGTAGCAAAAGCACAAACTTTATTAAATAAAATGAAAAGGGAGGAATATGTGGGGACCCACAGGTATGAGCCTGTTCTGACAAAGGGTCAGAGAGTTAGACCTTATTTTTTTTTCTCTTTCGAAGCCATTGACAACAGGTGTGTTTACAAACAAGAGATCCTGATCTAGGGTGTGATTAATTAGTATTTTGATTATAGAGGTGGTTCTGCTCCACTTGGACCTGGTGAGAGAATTCAAGTCTATTCTTTACATCATGTTAACAAAATCTATTGCCTCCCCCTTCCTTTTTAGAATGAAGTATGTAAGCATGTGGAAAATAAACAGGTGGGTTCAGTATTCTCTAAATGTTCCTCCCAATGTTGTTCTTTGCTTCTGTCTTTTATGTCTCTCATTTCTCTGTTCCTTTTGCTTAATAATTCTATTTACATTCCCACCCTGGAATGTACTGACTGCTCCCTGACAAGTTTTATGAAAACTTCACATAGGTTAGCCCATCAGACAGAATAACGTCATTTGAGTAAAAACTTCCATGAGGTCAAGCTGTAGACAGTTCCATAGGGCATTTCCTTTATTAATGATCAATGGGAGAGGACAAAGCTTATTCTGGGTGGTGCCACTCCAGCCCAATGGTCTTGGGTTTTATAAGACAGAAAAACATGCAAATCATTGGGAGCAAGTCAGTAAGCAGTACCCCTTCATGGCCTCTGCATCAGTTCTTACCTCCAGGTTTCAGCCCTGTTTGAGTTCTTATCCTGAATTCTTTCAATGATGGACTAAGATTTGGAATACACCCTGTCTTTGCCAATTTTCTTTTTGTCATGGTGTTTCATCACAGCAGTAGTAATACTAATTAGGATACATATTTTGCAAACTGTGGGAGGGTTTTAAAAGAGATTTCTGGAGTTGGACATCACTCACTACAGGAGATGTAGTTCCCCTATGTTTCCAGCTTAATATCATATTAAATCTTTGTTGTTTATTCCATCAACCAAGAAAATTATATGGAAGATGAAACAGAATTTTCTATAATTTCTGCCTTCCCACTCTCCCAGATATAATACTAAATCTCTGTAGATGAACAGGCTTCCCAGAGATATCAACCAAACATGGCATAACAAAACACAATAAGATTAGGAAAAAAATCTTCATATCAAAACCTGGTGAGGCAATCCAGCATGAGGAAAAGGGTCCCAAGAACAGACATAAGAGTCAGAGACACCCTCACTCCTCTGTTAGGAGTCTCATGAAAACAGCAATCCAACAAATGTGTCATATATGCAGAGGGCCTACTGCAGACTCACACAGGTTCCATGATTGCCACTTCAGTATCTGAGAGCCTCAAAGAAACATACATAGTTGATGAGGCTTATATTCTCCTGGTGTCTTTATTTTGATTCCTCTGGTTCATATAGTTCTTCCCTTTGAACTTTTAAAAGTAGAAATTATTTTACCTAAATGTTGTGATATTTAGTTTCCTTTTACTATTACAAAACATCTGTGATTTAAAAAAGATGTATAGTGTTTAGACTGATATTGAGGTCTTTAATCCATTTGGACTTGAGTTTTGTGCTTGGTGATAGATATGGGTCTATTTTCATTCTTCTACAGGTTGACATCCAGTTCAACCACTTTGGAAATCAGTGTGGCAGTTTCTCAGAAAATTCGGGATCAACCTACCCCTGGGCCCAGCAATACCACTCTTGGGAATATACCCAAGAAAGGCCTTATCATACAACAAAAATATATGCTCTACTATGTTCATAGCAGCATTGTTTGTAATTGTCAGAACCTGGAAACAACCTAGATGCCCTTCAATGGAAGAATGGATGAAGAAAGTATGGAATATATACATATTAGAGTACTACTCAGCAGTAAAAAACAAGGACTTCTTGAATTTTGCCTACAAATGGATGGAAATAGAAAACACTATACTGAGTGAGGTAAGCCAGACCCAAAAAGAGGAACATGGGATGTACTCACTCATATTTGGTTTCTAGCCATAAACAAAGGACATTGAGCCTATAATTAGTGATCCTAGAGAAGCTAAATAAGGAGAACCCAAAGAAAAACATATAGGCATCTTCCGGAATATTAACCTTCATCAGGCGATGAAAGGAGACAGAGACAGAGACCCACATTAGAGCACCAAACTGAAATCTAAAGGTCCAAATCAGGAGCAGAAGGAGAGAGAGCACGAGCAAGGAACTCAGGACCCTGAGGGGTGCACCCACACACTGAGACAATGGGGATGTTCTATCGGGAACTCACCAAGGCCAGCTGGCCTGGATCTGAAAAAGCCTGGGATAAAACCGGACTCGCTGAACATAGTGGACAATGAGGACTACTGAGAACTCAAGAACAATGGCAATGGGTTTTTGTTCCTACTGCACGAACTGGCTTTGTGGGAGCCTAGGCAGTTTGGATGCTCACCTTACTAGGCCTGGATGGAGGTGGGTGGTCCTTGGACTTCCCACAGGGCAGGAAACTTGATTGCTCTTTGGGCTAACAAGGGAGGGGGACTTGATTTGGGGAGGGGGAGGGAAATGGGAGGCAGTGGAGGGGAAGAATCAGAAATCTTTAATAAATAAATAAAAATTTAAAAAAAGATGTATAAAGAAGAAAGGAACATTTGTTTTTTGTTTTGGAAGATACAGCTCCTGAACAATTCACCCTATTACTTTTGGGTGAGTGGCAATGAACGACTCATGATAGAATCTGGTGATAAAGCAAAATGTTTTCTCATGGTTCCTGCTAGCACGAGAAAGCAAAAGGAAGGGAACAGAGTCTCACCATGCTCTTCAAGGGCATACGGCTAATAAATAGATAATTTCCTACTAGTACTCATCTAGGATCCATAATCTCTTAATGAGACCAGGGACTGGGGATCAAACCTTTATTGCATGTTCTTTTGAAAGACTCTTATTCTAACCATTGCCAGTCTCTAATAGCACATTTATAAGGACAAGTTTGCTGCAGTACCCTGGCAAATTGCTTATGTGCAGAAGCTGCAGCTGAATCAGGGTAGATGCCATGTTCAGCTAACAGTTATGTGTTGGTGACATCTACACAGTGGACAGCTGTGTGTTGCCAGCATCCACACAATGACTTCTTTAAGGTTCTTTTACATGATATAACACAAATCTTACTTTTGAGACTATTCTCTTCATGTTTCTATATAACCTCAAACAAAAATCCCAAGATAGAGTGGTCATCAGGACTAAAACTCAGATTTTTTGAAATTGTGTCTCTATGTTCCATATTTTTTCCTGATTATCCCAGCATTTTTGAGAAATCATAGAAGTCAAATATTCATCTGGCACCTATGTTCAAATGGAAATAGAAACTTATTGCCATGAGCTTTTCCAAAAATATGAAGATGTAGTAAAATAATGAGATTTTTGAAAATGAAAGAATGAGAGAGAGTAAAGAACCACCCTCAGAGAAAACAACATAGGTCAGCATTCAGTTTCTTTTTTAGAGGTCCAAAGTAGAATAAATGGTGATAAGGAATATTAAGGAAGGTATGAAAGATATGTTGGGAAACAGTAGGATCACAGCTCAGTGTTAAATGAGATTTGGGAGTAGGAAAACTTTTGACTCTGGTAGGAGTTTGGAATTGTATTTAGGAGAGTTTTTTTAGCCTTGATTAGTATCAAGGAGTTTTGTGGTTAGACTATCCCTGTTGTCTGTAGGCTGGATTTTGATCTATCCCCATGCCTTGCTGAATATGATTCTGAACCATGAGAAACAAGACTATGGTCCCACCCAAGGTGGTACCAATCCATGGAAAAGCTTTTTGCCCTCCTGCTCATTATCATCCTGAAGCAATAAAACAAATTCAAAAAAGTTGACTTCTCACAGGGCAGGGAACCCTGATTGCTCTTTGGGTTGAAGAGGGGGGGGACTTGATTGGGGGAGGGGGAGGGAAAGGGGGAGGCGGAGGTGGGGAAGAGACAGAAATACTTAATTAATTAATTAATTAATAAAGAAATAAATAAATTAAAAATAAAATAAAATTTTAAAAAAAGTTGGCTCTCTGATCTTCAATCTCAGTTCCCATGGATTCTTCCTAAGAAATATATTGGGCATTTGGTAAGAACCTTGGACTTTCTGAGTTCTAAGCCACAATCTTATATTTACTAGCTCCAAAACATTAGGAAAAGTCACACTGCTTTGGAGATTTGGATTATGTTAGATAATTATAGATATATAAAATAGTATAATATAGTTAGAACTTTTTAAGCTGTAATATATATATATATGTCTATAACAGTATAGGAAGAAAATCATATATCTAAAATATTCTTTCTCTTACCAACGTCTCAGTAAATTTGTTATATTAAACCAGGTGCTGTGGGAGTTTACTGCTTGCTTATGCACAGAAGGTACATCACACACACACAGAGAGAGAGAGAGAGAGAGAGAGAGAGAGAGAGAGAGAGAGAGAGAGAGAGGTAAATGTGTTCTGCCCAGACAGACTGCTTGCCCTCCAAAGAAACCACCAGGATACAAAAGCAAGGTTTATTCCAAAGTACAAGCCTATGCAAGGAATTTGTCCAGAACACTCACTGCAGTGGGGGTGGGGAAGAGCTGCCTTGCAGAGATTACAGGACTATTTACAGACAATCTCCCACCCAGTACTCCCAGTTTTCACCAATTTTCATATTTGGACCTAATTGAGGAGAGAAAATTCAAAATGCATGACATCATTATGTAAATGAAGTATGGACATAAGTATGTTCTAAGTTAGCCCATTCCTATTTGTCCCCAAGGACTGGTGGTCCTTTGTTTAAACCCCACAATTTTTATATTCAAAGGTTACAGATTGGGGTAAAAAGTGAGCTGAGGGTGTTTTTAATACTGTGACTTAAATATTCTTTTCTATTCATTTTATAAATCATTTCTACATTATGAGTATAAAAAGGTGGGGTTTAAACACTTTTTAAATTATCAATTGTTACATTTCAATCTGAAATTCTAACATATCTTATTCAGCTAGCAAGAGCCCCATTTACTTGAATGAAAGGACATCAAATTACATAGTAACTACTCAGGGTTAAACAAAGGCAGGGGATTTATCAGTCTTCAAATCTAGAGCAGTCTGTGTCTGGTTCTCATTTGACCTGTGCAGCATTTGTTTTGACCACAGCCGTGACCATCCAGTGCTCTGTACAGAGAACTTGAGTGTGTAATGTTTTAAGTCACTTGCCTAGAGTCTAGAATTCAGAAGCAGGAGAAAGTTACTTTAAATTTTTCTTTCTGTTATTATAAACTGCCAATACATGGAAACTAAAAATAGAAGAAGATTGTTTTTGCAGCACGAACTATTAAATCCATTGCTCTCTTATAAGTAAGTGTCCTCTGACATCATACTACAGCACTGACCACGCAGAATATTTTTCACAGTATCAATTGAGGTGTTCTTAGGGTTATTCTTGCCACATCCAGGATCTAGAAGACAATTCACTTCATCCCTCTCAGCAGCTGAGAGTAGCCAGCATTCCTTGGCTTGTTCCTGCTTTCTCCAACAGTTCTCGCTGTCTTGGTCACATCGTTCTCTCTTCCTTTCTATGTCCTTGTGTAAAATCTCTCTCTTTTATTTTGCAATAATACATGAAGTTGCATTAAAATCAAATGAAAAATTCAAACTAATCTCTGCATAAAAGATCCCATTTATGATAATGTTTTATTCCTGGTTCCAGGAAGTAGATTATTGGTGATGCAAGGAATATTTTTATCTCTACTGCAAGCATCTTCTTGATAAATAAAAAGCTCACAAGCATCAATGTACCAAGCTCATAACTAGAGCCCAGAGTCAGACAGAAGGGTATAGGAGTGGGACTTCTAATTGTACAAACTGTTTCCTTCCTTGTAAGAACCCAAAAATGTGAGCCTATTCCACATTGTCTGAAAGTCAGAGAGGTTTAGCTTATTTATGCTCTTTCAAAGATTTGACAACAGCTGTGGCTACACAACAAGACATTCTGACCTAAGGTGTGGATACTTGGTGTTGTGGACCTTAAAATGTCTCTTAGAGGTGGATCTGTTCCACCCTAATCAAAGGTCAGAAAATTCAAGCATACTTCCGCTCCTTCTTTTGGAACAGGTTTGACTTAGGAAGTGACTGCCTTCAGGATACTTGATCTAGCACACATTCACTGTCCCAGATATCAAATGCTTTTTCTGGGGAATTAATGGCTTGATGTGTCAAGTATTGAAACAAGTAATTGTTCTGGTTGTCTTTTGTGTCATGTTAAAGCAGTCTTTTGCCTTCTTCTCCCTTTTGTATTAGGATGTAAAAGTATTCAAAAAATTAAACACAGGCAAACTCAGTAGGGAGGAGGCACAGAGTTGCCTTCCCAGTACTATCCTATGTCACTGTGTTTTTCTTATCTCTGTTCTTTCCACCTGACATTTCTTATCTTCATGCCCCTACTTTGGAAAGTCCGAACTTTCCACAACTAGGATTTCAACAGAAGTCACTCCAAAGATTTGGTTCCCAACACTGCTTTCTTCTTCCTCAGTAGAATTATTTACAGGTGATAGAAACTCCTCTCCCCAACCTTGTCAATGAATGAATGATAGAATGGAGGGAGAGGAACAAAGACCAGCACTCCTGACTACATAAGAGTATTTTAAAGTGTAGTATTCAAACTGAGGCAAGATTCTCACACAGAAACACAAGTGCAGAGCTAGTATACCCCATCGCTATACCACATTTGTTCCTGAACTGAAACTCTACACACAAACATTCCAAATGCTACCAACTGCAGAGCTGCAATCCTCCCAATCTTCTTTGTTGCCTTTGTCACCACCGTGCTTTCCTAATTTATTTCACATTTTTTCTCTAAATATAAAGCTATGTAACCTCACAATGATAATAGTTTGCCCCTAAACAAGTAGAAACAATTTCACTCAGTTGCATACAGATGTCTGAACAAACGTGTAATTAATTTTGCTAGTGTGAAAACCCAGTGTATGCTGGAAATAGTTCAGATGAACTTCTATGTATAAACTTAAAGCTTCAGTGAAAAAATGATAAAGACACACTGAGGATTTCTGAGTAGAATCTTAAGGTTGGCTTTGTTGCTGCTTTTGAGTGTCACAAAATGATCTTCAAGGTCACCACCGAGAACAGAAAGCTTTTCCCAAAACTACTCCCATCCTTGTATTTTCTCAACTAACTAATTGGGACAAATAATGTTGCCTTAGTAATTACTGACCTGAATGAGAGCTGAAACATGAATTATACTTTTCTTTCTTTTTGGTTTTTTGAGACAAGGTTTCATTGTGTAGCCCTGACTATCTTGGAACACGTTCTGTAGACCAGGTTGGCCTTGAACTAACAGAGATCTGCTTACCTCTGTCTTCTGAATGTTGAGATTAAAGGCAGGCTCCACCACAGCCTAGCTTTTTAAAAATTATTTTTAATTAAAATTCTATGAAAACAAATTTGATCTGTTGTCAAGAATAAGTTAAAACCAAATTAAAGGTGTTGATTTTTATACTATATACAGCATTATTTTTTATAAAAGGTCTTTAGCTTTCAAAAACATATTAACACTTCAGTGGAAAGCTTCACAGGCTTTCAAGCAATGTAATCATTGTTTGAGAGCATCTGGAGAGATGGATGTTTGGAGAACAGCATTTCAGAACACAGCTGTAATGGAACTCCATCCAGTGTATATATAATACACCATAGATTTCTAGTACCATTTCTCCTTCACAATTTAGTGCAAATTTTTGTTATTATGGAAAGGAAAAGAGAGAGATAGCAAAGAGACAGAAATGGAGCCAGAGGGAAAGACAAAAAAAACTACTGGAAACAAGGAAACAAAATAATTGCAATGTCCCTACCATGTCTTCCTGTCAAAAAGGATTAGTTACAATGGACTTGTCAGTAAATTCCAGTTAAAAAGTTACTTAGAAGTATCCCATATCTTATCTCACTAAAGGTCAATCAGCTATATGGCCAAATTTTCTTTGATTACAAAATGAAAATACATACAAGGTGTAGGCCCTACATCTAGTAGGAAATGAATAGCATTGTTATCAGCTGAACTAAAAAGTAAACAAAAACATTGCATTTTCTTGGGTGAAAAGACTGAATACTGAAAGTGGATTTTTTTATGTCAGAAATCACTTTATATAAGCTGTCATCTTATTAAAAATGAGAAACTTTCTGACAATTGACAAAATTATTACTTTGAAAAATTTTAGTAAACTATTTTGAAAAGATTGGGAATTCTTTGCCACTCTTAAGGACGTGTGTGTGCATCTGTGTGTGTGATGTAATTTTAGAAGTAGAAAAACTATTGAAGAGCATGGAGTTACGAGGGGGAATGTTCCAGACTAGAGACGGTATAAGTGTATTTTGTATGAAACATGATCTGTGACATGATGTAATAATCAAAAAGCAAGAGAGAAACAGAGACAGTCCTAAATGCCTGGATCCCCAGTTGCTGTAAACTCTAACCAGCAGATCAACATTTATGTCTTAGCATAGTCAAGCTAACTAATTTATCTGGCAAGTTATATATAATGTTTCCTTCTCCATTCATCTTACTGTATCATAACTATTATGAATAAAACCGTGATATATTCAAGAATATAGATATGCCTTTATATTGTAGAATGTGGTTCTCTGAGTAAAACTGCCACCATCTTCATTCGAGGAGTTGTGCCTGCTTGTAAGGGTCAATCATTACTGGGCCTGTGGAGTTTTGGCATCCTCTGTTAGAAGATGGGAGTTAGGATTTTCATTGGTCTATCACTTGAGTTTGTAGAAAGATACTCCCCACCATTTGGGTACAATTTGACACTAACTGCGGATGCAGAAGTATTGTTTCAGCCTAATTGAAAGGGGAACCACCTATGCAGATGAGAAACCTCTATC